GTCCCATAAAGAAACCCTAAACCCTTAACCCCAAACCCTAAACCCTTAACCCCAAACCCTAAACCCCAAACCCTAAACCCCAAACCCTAAACCCCAAACCCTAAACCCCAATCCTAAACCCCAAACCCCAACCCGAAACCCCAAACCAAAAACCCTAAACCCTTAAACCCTAAACCCCAAACTTTAAACCCTAAACCCGCAAACCCTAATCCCTAAGTCTCACCTAGCAAAAGCCCAGGCCGGTGGACAGGCACTGGCAGTCTACGGTCAGCATGCAGGCCGCTCGCGGTTTGGGATTCTAATGCTTGGGGTTAGGTTTTAGGTTTTAGGGTTTGGGGTTTGGGGTTTGGGATTTAGGGTTTGGGGTTTGGAGTTTAGGGTTTAGGGGAATTATAGAGTTTAGAGTTCAGGGTTTAGGGTTAGGTTCTTTTGGGAAATTACTTGGCAATCCTGATAAGGAAGAATATGGGGGGAAGTTAAGAACGGCTAGGTTGGGAACGGGATGTGGATCAATTGCAGTGTAGGTTTTGGGTCAGCAAGGTTTGGAGTCTGAGGGTTTCCAGGTTTCGGGTGTCAGGGTTGCAGGATGAGGCTTTAAGGTTTGAGGTGGATTTGGGGTTTAAGGATTTGGGGTTTGGGGTCTTAAGGCTTTGGGGTTTGGGTTTTAGGCTTTGGGGTTTGGGGTTTAGAGGTTTGGGGCTCAGGGTTCAGGGCTCAGGGTCCTGGGATGTGGGTTCAATGAGTTTTGGGAATGCGGTGATAAGGAGATCATGGCTTTCCTTTTTTGACGTTCACATTAGGGGTCGAACTGGTTGAGAGGGGCAAGAGTAGTGGGATCATACTATATTCCTTAGATAAGGCCTTAATAAGCCCCAATAAGCCCTTACTAAGCCCCAATAAGGGAATATGGGTCCCAACACCCCCCTCCCCAACACCCCCCAAATCGCTGCCGCCATGCGTTTTTGATTAAGGGTTTTGGGTCTGCGGCTTAGGGGTTCACAGCTCTTGCCCCTAGGCCTTCCACGGTGGGGCCCTAAGCCCAAACCAGACATGAAACCTAAATTGTGCTACTTTCTTGTTGGGTAGGTCTGCATGAGTGGTTGGGGGACCCATGTAGAAACTATGCTGGAGGCAATCGACTGCAGAAGGTTGTGCTGGAGGCCAGCAGAATGTTCACATTGAGGGCTTTAGTGCCTTCCATGGTCTTTTCCATTGCTTTTCACTGATTTTTGTGTTTCCAACTTATTGAGTTGACGATGCAGTTTGGAGATTTTTACAGGATGTAGCCTGCCAATGTCGAGGTGTCTCAGGCTTCCATGGCTTCAGGGTTTAGGGTTTAGGGACCAGTAACTTTGATTGCGTAGCATGAATCGCATTACAAACGCAGGCTATTGGGAGGAACAAGGATTGTAGGTTGGGCACTGCCCCCACTCTGTAACAGTTGGATAATATTTACCTGCTTAATCTATAGAGTCCTTAATATGACCCTTAGTACCCTGAACCCTAAGCCCCCAAACCCTAAAACCCTAAATCCCTAAACCCTCAAACCCTCAAACCCTCAAACCCTCAAACCAGAAAAAAGGCCTTAATATATGACCCTAATATAGACTGTTGCAGGGTGGGGGCAGTTCCCATGGTGTTGGATTCAGGCTCGGGATGCTAAAGATCATTATTGTTGAGTCCGCTCTGCTCCGCACACCCTCTGCTCTCCAAAGGGTTTAGGGTTAGGGTTTAAGGTTTAGGGTTTAGGGTTTGGGGTTTAGGGTTTGGGGTTCGGGGTTTAAGGTTTAGGGTTTAAGGTTAAGGGTGCAAAGTTGGAGATTTTCCTGCTGCTTCACAAGCACTTCAGGGCCAAGAGCGCCCAAGGAATTGCATACTCACTGACCAATGGTCAGCTGGCCCTACCTTACCTTTCTCTTTCCTTTGCACTCCTTGGCTGGCCCTACCTTACCTCTGCTTTCTTTTCCATTCCTTACTTGGCCCTACCTGACCTACGCTATCTTTCCATTGTTAACCAGAGGTGAGATCTAAGTGGAGAGTGGTTAGAAAGCCTTGCGGAACATGGGAGTTTGCAAGGTATCCTGCATATGAGCTGTAGTCTAAACCCAAGGGGGTTATATAGGGGAGTATATAGGGGAGTATTATAGGGGTTATTAAAGAGGATACTAGGGGTTTAGCCTATAGCTCATCTAATCCTGAACGGGGACTTACAGACCCTTCGAGTCTCCATAGCCCTGGATCCCTAGTAGCCTAGGGTACCTGCGCGTTAAGAAGCACCGTCAACATGAGCTATGGTCTAAACTCCTTAAAGGGGGGGGGTTATATAAGAGGGTCATATTGGGGAGTACTATAGGGGCTAAGGGGGATACTAGGAGTTTAGACTATGGCTTTGCGGAGCTGCGAATTTCATGCTGGGAGGACTAACACTGGAGGGGAGGCCCTGTTTCTTTCGGCTGAGTGAAGGCTTAAGCTAAGAGCATGCTCGGGACGTCAGTGGGCCTTATGATGAGGTCGCCACAAGTGAATCCTTTCCCAAAAGTTTAGCATAGCACCAAAGCTCAGTGCCCTTGGACCCTAAAAGTCCGTAGGCCGTAGGACCCGGCAAGAGCAACGGTCGCAAGTGCAGGATAAAAACCAACAAGGAGAATCAACAGATCTCTTCTTGATATTTCCCCTCCGCGCCTTCCTAGTGTCCAGAATTCTTGCTTGTACTTGACGCCATTCTGACCTGCCACTACAGTGCGAACTCTGAACTCTGGACTTTCTGCCATCCTCATGCTCTGAAGGATGTGCCTGTCCTCTACCAAGTGGCGCGACCGCACGTTGAGCGCGCCATCATCCAGACGCAGGCTGGGTTTAGGGTCTGGGATACCTGAAGCATGATTCACAGCACTAGGAATTGTTCTGTCCATTTTGAGTTGAGTAGCACTAGTCATACTCTCCAAATGCAGGTCCCTCACAGGAGGTGCTTGGAGTGACAACAGCCTGACCCAATTGGCTGTGTTTATCATTGTCTTTGCAGATGTTGGCAATCCAGCCAGCAGAATCTAGAATCTGCCCGAAGCAGAAAACTCAGCTTGATGACTACAGCTTCGAAACTCGGCAATGAGATGAGGTCAGGTTCGCCGAAGCCTGAATGGATCAAGCGGCTCGGCCGGCTAGATTCCGTTGTCTAGCCAAGCATGTTGAGCTATGGATCCAGTCCCATACCTTGCAGCAGCAGCAGCAGCGGTGGACACGTAACTGTTGCTGATGCTGCAGCACAGCAAAATACTGAGGCAGTGATGGAGATGCTTGCTCAGGGCTACAGAGTGGATGGTCAGGACTCTCTTGGCAATACGGCACTACACTGGATTGCATATTTCAGACTGGACACCCTGCTCAGCCCACTTTTAGAGAAGCGCGCGCGCCCCGACATTGTCAATAATTCCGGCGAATCTCCAGTACATTTTGCTGCGATGTCTTCCCATGTAGCTGGCTTGGATGCAATGACACAAGCCAATCGAGCTCTGCTATCACTTCATGACAAGGATGGGTACACCCCTTTCATCGTGGCAGCGAAGCAAGACAACTCTACCATCATGGAGTGGATGTACCTGAAGGGTGTTAGTATAGAAGAGCAAGATGACGATGGCAGAACCGCCCTTCACTGGGCGTGTTACCATGGGAACAAGAAGACGGTACAGTGGTTACTTTCGCGTTCTGCTAGTATCGCCCACCGAGACAGTGATGGTATGACAGCAATCCACTGGGCGGCCATGAAGGGCCACGAGCTCATTGCAGACATGCTCATAGAGGTCGGAGCTGTGAAGCTTTTGGATATCCCGGAGCGCAATGGGATTACTCCAATCGAGTTTGCCATGCAGAAGAAGAACAGGTACATGGTGGCGTCCTTCCACAAGTCGCAGGTATTGAGCTATCTGTTGGGCAGGCCGTATGTGTTCTGCAATTCTTTCGCAACTCTGTTCATCTGCTTCATTGCCTTCAACATCCTAGTGTTCGCCTTGATCATAGCGCCAGGTATTGCGGCTAGAAATCCGGAGGCAGTGATGCACTGGTCTGTATTTATGGGACTGTCACTGCTCCTTTGGGTTCAGTGCTGCTTTTCTGATCCCGGCTGTTTGCGGCCGCATACCATACACCCGCAGCATCACCTCCTGGGCAATGACCCAGAGAAGACGTTTGATGTTGAGCAACCAATTGAGTTACAGATGGCTCATTGCGATAGTGTGTTGCAGCAGCTGACGCTGACATGCGATGGTGAGGCACCAGAAGTCATGAAGCTCGAGCTGGAGCAAAACAAATACAACTATCAGAGGCAGCTCTTGAGACAAGCCAGGAAGCGGCTTGAAAGACTTTGTGGCATGGGCGATCCTCGAAGCCCAGCTAAGGGCGAATCTCAGCCACTCATTGCTCCAGGCTATAAGGAGCGCATTGCAACACAGCAGGCTCAACTGAATCGAGCCACAGAGGCTCTTCATGAGCGTGAGAGGTCCACTGGAGAAAGCCTGGGCCGTGCGCGAGTGGAGCAGCTCCTTGGAGAAGGATGTGGCGAGTACCTTTCGTTGGTGGAGAAAGGCGAGTTCAAGCATGTGTGCATCATTTGTCGTGCGCGGCGTGAGATGCGATCCCACCACTGCAAGGAGATTGGCCGCTGCGTTGATAAGATGGACCACCACTGCCCGTGGATTGATAACTGTGTGGGCTTAGGCAACCAGCGGTCCTTCTATATGTTTGTCCTGCTCCTTTTCACCACCATCATCTACTTCTACTACGCAGTTTTCTTATATGCATTTGACAAAGTGTTTCCAGAGATTTCACATGGCTCCTTCGGTGAGCTTCTGCATGCCCTGACAAGCGGGTCCCTTGCGCCTGAGCTACAACCGCTTGTAGTTCTCATTGCAACTGTGTTTGATTTGTTTTGGGTGTATTTCGTGGGTCTTTTGGTTGTCCGGCACACGGCATACATGCTGGTGAATGTGACTACTTGGGAAATCCAGATGAGACCGCCTCATGTCCAGCGACGCTTTCCAAAGGCTCGGAGAAAGTACTGGTTCCTCCAAGGTTGTGGACTCATGTCGGCCTTAGCTAATTGCGCAAAGTTTTGGATGCTGGACGACAGCGGTGACGTGGCAATGTTCTTTGGACATCCTCAAGAGAGCTTCGTGGCTGCTGAACGCAAGCTGGAGGGCGGGCCTGATGCAGAAAATCTGCCCGAGGAACCCTGACTGATTGAATTCCTTGTCTGCATGTGGTGAAAAAAGTGGTGGCATATGTAGCTACTCGGAGGGTGTAGGATGTAGCTTTTGGAGTCTGCTATTGATAGGAAAGCTGAACCGAATTAGACATCTGAAGTCGTTCTTATTTGAGTCCTCCTGGTTCATGCAGGGGTTCATAATGGTAGTAATAGTTCTAGTAGAATTAGTGGTAATGATGATAATAGTAGTAATGGTCATGATAATAATCATCAGAAGTGTGAAGACTGTCTTGCTTGATGCCTTGAGGCGAGGATTGCTGTGATTTCAGGTTCATAGCAGTACTAGTAGTGGTAATAGTAAAAGTAATACTAGTAAGACTGCTAATGAGAATTGTAACCCTAAACCCTTGATAGTAGTGGTACTGTAATGCTACGCTTGACTTCCGACTCAAGACCTTGGTTCCAAAGCAGCAGCCCAAAGCACTGTTCAGGTGTTCGTCGTGGAGAAGGGCACGCAGGCATGGGGATTAAGGTTTAGGGATTAGGGTTGAAGGATTAGGTTTTGGGGTCTAGGGGTTTATGGTATTTGAGGTTTAGCTTTCGATATTTTTGTGCTCCACTGGATTAAGATCCCACTTTCCATTTCAATTTCAATTTGTTATGCAGTTGCTTTTTCCACAAGTGCCAACTGATAAACATCTAGGCCCCCAAAATATTGAAGCAATATCCCCACATTTTGAATTCTTACTTGAAGGGTCATGGGACTTAGTAAGTAGGTCAATAATGGGATGATTGGGGTTATTATATGGCTTATAGGGGTCATTAGCCTACTTACTAAGTCCCCATGACCCTCTAAGTACTACTGGTAGAACTTCCAGCACTGTCTTACTGCTGCCTTTCTGGTGAGAAGTGCCCGCGGCCATCGTGATTATGAAGATATTGAGTACACCTCGCAAGAGGTGGTTTCCCTAAATAGGGCGGGGACCCCAATATAGACCCCAACATAGTATAATCCTCATTATAGAGACCCCCAAAGGGTACCCCTAATTTTGGGAAACTTGCATGACAGTCTGGTTTTGTCCTGTGAATAGAAGTCGTCTCCCTCCATAGTCTCTCCCGATCCACAGAGCGGTCATCCTTATCCCACTCTTTTTTTCTGCTGGCGCCTAGCTAGCATCTGGAAAGACTGGAGAAACCGCAGTTTGCTGCGCGTACCAGGCCTAAGTTGCAGAAATTTCTGTGTTAAATTGCTACTAAGGAAATTAATGTTAAGTTACTATGTTCTCCCCCTACAATTGAGAGTTAAACGGAAAAGAAAATGGAACATGACATGGAAGCTGGGGGAAGACAGGGATTTAAGGTTTAGGGCCCAGGGTCCTGTCCTCAACGGGCCCCAGTGCAGCCAGGCAGGCAAAGTGATCCACAAAGCGGTTGTGCACGACGTGCCCGTGATGGTGGAGTCCGGTGTGGAGACTGCGCGTCCGTACGTGCAGCAGGCGCATGCGCAGAATCACCGGTTTGGGGTTTAATTTGGGTTTAGGTCCTAGGGTTTAGTGTATATGGGTTCGGGCTGTCAATAGCTGAGTTGCAGACGGATCATGTTTACTTGGAGGGTCAGGTGGACTTAGTTAGTATACGTTTAATACTTACTGAGTCCTGCTGACACCCCAAGCAGCAGGGGTCCTTTTCCTGAGATCCCGAGCCCTGCGAAGGCCATCGTCCGAAATCCAACGCCCTAACCTTCAAAAGGAATAGGAGGCAAGGTATAGAGGGCTACTAAAAAACAGCAAATGAGCCTGAAACTTTGGCTGCTCACCGAAGCCTGCTCCCTAGATTCGAGGACGAACTTAGACAGTGGATCCCAAGTGAGTATTCCTAGATACTACCTTGTCATCGTCATTCACCGTCATCATAGTAGAAGTTGTAGAAGAAACAGAAAGATAAGTAATAGTAGTAGGTATGCCAAAAAGGAGATCCTACTTCTTAAATTCTTAACCTTGAGACCTAAGCCCTACGCCCCAAACTCCATACTTGGCGGGTCATGAAGTCGTCCTGATCCTCCAAGCGTATTCAAGCGTGCTTTCACGTGGACAGGCTGGGCAGGTCATCCACAAAGCTGTTTATCACGACGTGCCGGTGATGGTGGAGACGGCCCGGCCCTACGTCGAGGAGGCCTGGTAGGGTTTGAAGAAGATAACGCGCAAAACTGTTGTTTCTAGGGGTAGATTAGGGCATACATCAACCCAATTTTGGGGTAATGCAGGCTGTTGTCCCTGAAATGCAAGTGAGATGTAGAGTGTGTGAGGAGTTTGCAGAACTTGTTGGTTTAGATTAGTGAGTAGATCTGCGGGTGATTTGAGGGTTTGTGGGATCGCTGCAAACGAGCTCAAAGTAGCCATTGCAGCTTCTCTCTAGACTCCATCATGTATTTTGGAGGCCATTCGCCAAGGAATGATTTCTGATAGCATCGAAGAGCTCATCCATAAAACGATCCCGCCAAGATGCGTAGCCTCCGATCTTAGGACGATCTTGTTCGTGTTTTACTAAGGGAGGTTTGTCAACATGAGTCGCCTTCGGGTATGAGGTTGTCAGAAGGAGATTATAGGGATAGCCCTCGAGGATTGTCTTGGCTTGGTGTTGCAACTCCAATATGTTCGCGTCTTACAGAAGTTCCGCAGGCCAAAAACCCCTGTAAACCCTGAATCCTCAATAGTTGTTTCAATTTCCTTTCCATTATCCCAACATATCCCCAGTAGCCCTAGCTGCTAAGGGGCTTATATGTCAAGGTGTTAGTAGCCTTTATTTAAGCCCAACAAAACTTGCGGGCGAAACTTGGTGGCATAATCTGGCTCACCCTGCCTTACTATGGCCATTGCTCGAATTTTTGGCTTCAGCCGCTTGTTAAGGTTTTCTCAATATCATGCCGCCTCTGGCACACTTTCAGAATAGCCCCGGAATACAAAGGCCTTGCAGAGCGAGCATCTCAGGTGTGCTTGGCCCTGCTAAGCGATGGCTGATACATTGCCTTAGCACCAGTGGAGAATTTTCAGGCTTTTGGGGTCTATATAATCGTGCTACACTGAAAAGATTAACCTTGGGCCGAGAAACTCCACGGCGCCAGGTTGCCCACCAGCTAGTGTCTTCCCACAAACTGACGTGGGATGGATGTTACTTTAGCAGAGGATGTTTGTCTTTAAAATGGTTGCTAGTGATCAGAAGTATACAGGTTTAGAGCTACTGCCGCCACAGTGACTTGTTAGATTCTTAAAGGAGGTGTAAGCGGAACAATTGGGGGAGCTTCGGCTCAAAACCATCTGACATATAGCTAGTCTTGACCAGTCGTTTTCTTGGAAGAAAGCAAGGGATGTTTCGTTCGATCACCGTAATCCCTTCTGCCCAAATAAATTTCACCACCCCCTGATAGCAAATTTTGCCTGCCCCATAGTCCTCTTGTATAGTACATCTGTAAGGGTTCAGTAATATGGTGCAGGTCATGATTTAATCGTCAGCTGGCTAAAAACTTGGTTTTCCAGAGTCGCCTTTGAAAGGCCGCAAGGGCTGCGCACCGGGCGGTAGCGGAAGAGGCGTGCTTGTAGTCAGGGGGAGTGGAAAAAGAACATGGAACCTACCATTTAGGGTTTATAGTGCTCCTGAAGTAAATATAGAACATGGGGTATACGGGGATTTTATTACAATACACCCAAAGCCATATTCTATCTTTTCAAGGGGGACTACGGGGTTTCGGGGGTTCAGGTTCCTTTTCAAGAGGCTTTGGATTGGACCTCGAACTGGAAATTGGGATTGCAGGCTACCGTAGGGGGGTCCATAGTGCCCGTACATGGGTTATCTATGGGATGTATGCTGAATACGATTTGGGTTCCCACTTTTGGTTTTGAATTTAACCCCTTGACCTTTGTTAAGGATCTCATGCCCGAAAACCCACCCCCTAAACTCTAAACCCTAAGCCCGGAACCCTAAACCCTAAGCCCTAAGCCCTAACCTTCAGAAAAGCCCTGAAAGTTGAACACCCCAAGTTCCATTTGGAGGTTTGGGTAGTGATCCGTGCGTTAAAACAAGAAATAGCAGGCTTGTAGCTGCTCATGGACCTCCAAGTAGAACCTTAACCTGAAGAATCATGCTGAGTCATAAGCCCTAGGCCCAAGCCGCAAATCTCTAAAGCTTACGACCCTCTCAAGCCCTCGACCTTACAACCGCGCTGCCCTGCGCGCAGCACCCAGTAACCATTGCATCCCAAACAGCGGCTGCTTGGGTCGACATCAGGGTCCCTTATGGAAGTCCCTGCTAAATTCAGGCCATACATATGTTCTATGCAATCCTTACCCCGCGGCCTGGACCCCAAAGCTTAAATACCTGAAACCCCAAACCCTAAACTCCGAACCTGCAGCTCCCAAATCGCAAATCCCTAAATGGCAGTTTCCATATTCTTTTCCACATGATTCTCAATGAGCTGCGTAACATTCCTAAACCTCATATAAACTCTGCATCCCCCTATATACCTATACCTTAAACCCTATATAGCCCATTATGGTAGTTTCTATTTTCTTTTCCATTATCCCTACCCCTATATATCCCCTAAATCGCCTAAACCCTAAACCCTAAACCCTAATGCCTAAACCCTAAAACCTAATTCCTAAA